AGTCTGTATTAATGAGTTAGCTGAAAGGAAGCATCTGAGAAAACACCCAAAAACCAGAATATAAACTATGACAATTTACTACTTGTTGAGCTACGCCAAACACAATGTCATTTACTTTCGATACTATATTCACTGGTATGGGTGAATGAATTAGTACAAAGTTTGTAAGCTCTATTTGGACTGACTGGGACAATAGCCTTAATAAGAACAAAACAACAGCCCAAAAACTGTTCTTTGTATTTGTTTATGTCAGAAGAGTAGTTGTGGTATCGTTCAACATCAACTGAAGACGTATCACAGTACTTGCAGAAACGATTAAACAATAAAGGGGGAAACCTTTGAAATGTGGAGACGAAATGTGGCTACTTCCAAATCAGCCTCTTGGGTCCAGATGTACTAGACCATATCTTATCTTTTCACTACTCAGTTCATTAAACTGTGAGCTTTAGCAGTCACGTGATACATGGACAAACGTTGAATAGGTTGATAAACAGAAGTCGTATGTTATGGGTAAATCTCTAAGGCACTTTGAAGAAGATGGAAATGAAGGATAATGTCAAAAACTTTGATCCAACAGGCTTAGAGAAAGAGAAATCACGAGTTCTCTTCTGGCTGATGTTAAGCAGCCAGAGGAAATAGAAGAATAGCTGAGCAATAATGTTGACCTTTGGCATATTGTAATGATGTTTTATTTTGTCATGTTACTGGTTTAGCACTAGCTTAACACCTGCCACGCAAGCCACCCCAGCATCTTTTAGTACTGAGCCTACGATGGTCAACGGGGGGTGGGGGGGAGTCATTCCAGAAACCGGTGAATTGAGGTTATTTTAATATATCTCGAAAAATGAAGCTCAGCACAATTATAAAACGAAAATAAACAACTAAAAACTAAATATTAATGAAAATATGACACGATGAAATCTGTATATATTATACTGTGTTGCTATCAATACTGGACATTATACCATCCTTCTTATATTTACTCTTATTTGTAGAAATGACATTTTTAATTTGAGAATCGCTAGGGATATCATCTTGTAATACATCGCGCATTTGCTTCAACTTCAACACTACATCTTTGGGCTTTACTGTGCTGTTAGTTTCACAAAATATGGAAACTAATGATTTATTATATATGATTCCAATCCCCCTTTTTGAAAATAATGATACTATTGTACCCGTTTTTAATGTTTCGCTGTCAATGCAATAATCAATTGACGAATATCCGATTCAGCTGGTGTGTCAGATCGATTGGGATATCTTCGAATAAGTTCTTCCCTCATTCAACCTGGACCCACGGTTTAGTTTGCAACAAAAACTATGCTGAAGAGTTATTGACAAGATGCGCAGTCGTCAGACAAATCATAAACAGACGTGGTGATACGGACTGTAACGACGTTGTGAGGCTCCAAGATCTGTGGAAAGGAATACCTTTAAGACATTAAGAAAAAATAACAATATTTAAAATGTTTGTTTACAGGTTGAAGAATATGTTATGCACTCTAATGATCTGAGTGTATTGGGAATTCGAAAACCTGTTGTATATGTGTAAAGCAGTGGTGAGCAAGCTAAACTAATCGGGGCCACAGGTGTGTGGCCCCCAAACACTCTTAAGGGCCGCAAGACCCGGTTGCTAGTCATAAACAAACAATGATATATTTGAATAAAAAATAACTTTATATAAAAACATATTATAGTTCTGATAATTCTCTACTGATGATTAAAAAATAGTGTAGTATGCAAAAATATATATCAAAATTTAGACGTTAATCTCCTTGTATTAACGCACCTAGACGACTTTATGTTTCATAACTTAAAATTAGCTTATTAACTACTTAAAGTCACTTGGGTTGTGGTAATAAGTTATTTTACTTAGAATGTCTAGTTTAACTCCTACGGGGCCGTAGTTTGGCCACCACTGGCGTGTGAAGGAACTAGGATTACATAGAAAGATACTCAGCTGACATACTACCCGATCATCAAGAGACTCCAAATCTCTCCCAGGGTGGAGCTTAATCAAGCTGTTATATTGAAGTGGTCTGAGCATCGTCATCTCCGTGTTGTGGAAGTATAAACAAGCTGTTCAGTTGGACACTTATCTCTCCTAAATTCTTCTCATTTGAGACCAATAACGATATTTTTTTTGAGCTAAGGACCTGAACTCACTCGTAAAGAATGTCATATAAATGTTAATATGAAACATAAAAGTCCAAATAAACAAACGCAACGCATACAATGAGTAGCCGGTAACTGCCGTTTCGAGTACTGTTAGCTCACACCAGCTGGTTCGAAGACAGAAAGTGTCACCCAACAAAGCGTTATGCGACTTGGAATTATAAAGTTGGTCCATAAATCTAACGAAACTTATATATTGAGAGGGGGAATAATGTAATAGCTTTCTTACAATATATTAAATTATTCAAATAGATCCCCCCCCCCTCTAGTAAAAATTTGAAATATTTTTTTCTTTCCCACCTGCAATGGCTTATCTAGCAAGGGTAACTCAAGTCTGTAATAATTAAGCGAGTGCTTAAGGACTAATTTATTATTCCGGGACGAATGTATTGTTGCGTCAGCGAGTCACATGACCACGTGACGCAACGTTTCTAGAATTATCATGTACTTTCGGGAATGCTCTAGTAATTGCTCGATGTAGGGTGGGCTGGTATATATAAAGGATGGTAATGTGTGTGTAGAGAGATAGTGAGTAATTGATCTGCGGTCAGAGAATTATTGACGTTCGTTGCTATAGCGTTTGTTTAGCGCGATTGTTGAAGTTCAGTGTATCGGTTAAGTTATATTCGGAAAGAATAAACCAGTTTTATTAAGTAAAGGCTTGTGTCGCGTAAGTTTCGTCGGTACGAAGTTACGGAAAATCAGTTAATTAAAAAACGGAGACGTAACAGTATTGTTGTTGTTGTTTGCGCGTGTATATTGTCTATTTCACGGGTGGGTCTGATGATAATTATGGGTTTGTGATTCATTCAATCGTTGACAAACTTAAGATGTGGTAGAAGTTAGTTGAGTGGTTGTTCCGGATGTACATGCAAAGCCACACAATGATTATCTGCGCTAGACGTCTTTAATTTTGAGCTGAAACACTAGAGGAAAAGCAGCTAGTCAACGGCACCCAGTAAAATTATTGGGCTGTTCTAATCGAATAGTTGGGTTTTATCTTCACCCACATGCCCAAAATACGGGGTGTGATTTTGCGGAGAAGAGGCGCGAACTTGGGATTCTCATATTCACGTTCCGGCACGTTAACCACTAGGAGGCTGCCTTGGTAGAATTTCGAGTCGTGGCCCAAGGCTGTGATTTCTTAATGAGAGTCAGAGTTTCATGTTCATGTGGTAATAACGTGTCTGTGTGTCTGTACCCAGAGAAAGAGAAGAAATATTTTCTTATTGGTAATAAACTGCTTTATTAATAAAAGACTCAATTCAACTAGCAGTAATTCAGTAATTCGCTCGTTACCCTTTATTGATATAATCTACATAACAAAGTTTATAGAGAGGAAACATCTTTATTGTTAACTATGTATCATATAATACTTTAAGGATGTACTATATTCTGTTTATGGAAACATCTTTATTGTTAACTGTGTATCATATAATACTTTAATGATGTACTATATTCTGTTTATGGAAACATCTTTATT